TTTTATATTTGTTGGAAACTTTTCTGTATTTTTTTGGAATTTTTTCTATATTTTTTGTATTTTATTATTTTTATATTTAGATATTTTTATTTCTTCATATGTTGTTATTTTTCATGTATTTTTGTGTATTTTTTGTATTTTATTTAAATTTCTATGTTATGGGCCCGCGCGTAGGATCTCGTCATGGGTCGGTCCACCGGGAGAGACTCTTGTCTTCCCTTGCCCTTGCCCTTGCCTACAGACCCTATTGTAGCAATTGTGTGGATGATTTGTCCAAGAGATCACCTGAACTCTCCTAACACCTTTCTTGGTTGAAAACTAATGCCTTTATTTCAATCCATAGCTCCTTATATAGGAGATTACAGAAGGATGTTTGAGCATTTTAAGTTTTAACATGTAAATAAATATTAGTTAGTTAACACATGTCAATACATGTGTGGATGCTTGAGCCAACTCAAGTTTGTAAATTATCCTCCTAGGCAAGGCCTTATATAGATAAAGACAAAGGCCTTCATTCTTATTGGCTAAGCAATGTGGAAAAACACTCAATGGTAGCACTTATAAAAGGATACGTAAGCTAAGCCAACCAACTCTAAGAATTATGTGAGGCCCATGTTTTTTTTTGTGTGTAGGCCCAAAGCTTAGCCAAGCCCAATTTACCTATGCAATATATATATATATATATATTGCATAAATTATATTATATTATGTCATAGGCCCGAAAACCCCGTAAGCTTGGCTTGGGCCCGTACAGGGCTAGGCTTGGGCTTGCAAACTAGGCTTGGGGTTAGGGGTGCCAACGGTATTCAAAAATCTGATTTCGAATTCGAGATTCGATATAATCGAATCAAATTTGGATAATTCAAATATCTAATTGGTCGAATTCAGATATCATATTCATACCGAATAGATAATCGGATTCAAATTCGGATATGACTTGATTCGATTCGATAAATATCCGAATTCAACCGATTATTTAATTCTTATATATAATATATAGAATATTTAAATGTCTTATATAATATATATATAATAATTAAATTATGTGAATAATTATATACTTTATATAGATAAAATATTTATTTTATATACTTATTAATTACTTAAAATAATTAATTAATCGAATTCGAATTGAATCGAATATTTGAATATTTAATCATATTCGAATTCAAATATTGCCAGATCCAATTCGAATTCAATACGTTTGCACCCCTACTTGGGATACTGGCTAGCCCCAGGTCTAGGTTAAAGCACTTATCATTAATGCTAAACCTGGCCTGGCCCAGCTCATGATCACCCCTACGTGATATTATATATGGATGTCATGTGGCATTCAAAAGTCGTAAGCCGATAATATGAAGATGCCATGTGGTATCATAAATGAATGCCACGTGGAATTTGAATATGGGTCATTGACATATAGATACCATGTGGAATTTGAATATGAGTCATTGACATGTAGATGCCACGTGGTGGCATATATGAATGCAAACAATGGTATTATATATCATGTGACAACATAGATGAATGTCATGTGGCATACAATTGCATTAATTATGTTTAGATGTCATGTGGTGGCATATATATGCCACATGAAATCATATATGAATGCCACGGGGCATTTGAATGCAATGACATGTGGATGCTATGTGGCACCTAAAGGTAAGTTAACGATACTACATGTCATGTGTCACTTAATACATTAATATACCAATACTTCCACATGACATTTGTATATGCTACTAAAAAAAAACTACATGGTAGCATATAGTTATCATATAGTAGGATGTACAAATATCAACGTGTGGTTGATGCACATGTTTTATAAAGTATAAAGTATGTGAGAAGACTAAACTTCATACTTTTGGTGTTTTTTATATTTTTACTTTATGTTTATTAAAAATAAGAACACAACCCAAACAAATGCATTCCCATACTTTTTGTACTTTCATACTTTTGAAAGTATGAAAAGTACTTCCAAAAGTACCGTCAAACAGGGCTAAAGCTAAAACACAAAGCATAAATTGCGGCCTTGTGCTTTTGAGCTTTGAAAACATAAATCCTAAAGGCTGAAGCTTATACAACCTTAATTGTTACCAAACCACCCTTAAGTCTCTCAGCCTAATATACTTGCACTTATCAAAGCTATTTCATATGTGGGAAATTAAACATAGTTTTATCTCCTACGGATAGTTGATATAAACGTAACTGTCACTTATCTTTAGCAAACCAAACGCCCCCTAAAAGACCCCTAACACTATTGACTTTCACATGCCTATACAAGGATAGCATGATTAAGGTTACTCAAAAACTCAATTCTAATCGGACCCCATTTTCATTTGCCAAACCAAACCAACTTACTTTCTAGGAAAAAAAAATCCCACCAACCAACTTAAATCAATTTATTGAAGGGAAAAAAAAACTTAAAAAATCAATTTAGATTTTAAACCAGCACGGCCCAAGTTGCACCCATTTTTGTCCTTAATTGTTGACTCGTATGAATCCAGTCAGTGATTCTGCTGCTTATAATCCACAATATCAATTGTTGAAAAGAGACCATCCAATTAAATCTTGCATTTGTATTGTGTGGTTTGGAAGCCAGTGAAGTCATTTGGGTCCAATTATCATTCTTGTCTCGAACGTATTTGACTTCTTTTTTTGTTAGGTGGTGGTGGGTCCTATTTGGGCTGGCAGCTGTCTTTAGACTCTTTTTGACCTACTAGGTCCAGGTTCGGTTTTCCTTAATTTTCATTTTGTTTTTAATTATGTAGCTTAGTCTAATATTGAATGTAGAACTTCAAAATCTAGGGGAGTGTAAAATATGGGTGAACACTGGGTAGGCTATGCCCAGAACTGAATGGAACCAACTTCAAACCGCCCGTACCAATATGTTATTGGGTACAGTCTGGTTCCAAATTCTTGGAACTGATCCCTCACTCAGGTCAATTCTAGAGTCAAGGCCTCGAGGGGTTTATCCTTCCCAAACTATTCAGAGAGTCGGCCTTGGAACTAAACTGGTTTTTGAAATAAATTCCAGAATACTTTGAGTTGTGAAAATTTGAAGCCAAGAACTCGTAGTTATATTGACCATGGTCTCACTTGACCATTCGCTTAAATAATTTGATCAATTTTCTTCACTCCCATATTTAAATGTGTATAATAAATAATGTAAAAGATAATATTTACAAGATTTATTCCTTTTCTAGGGGGATAAAATAAATAACAAGTTCCACAGTAGACCATATAAACTACAGAGGCCAAAACTAACCTGGAATCCAGGTTCTGCCTTGGAACAAATCAATTGAACCAACCCATGCTCACCCCTAGCGTGAACTTCTGCTTCAGATTTGATGTTGTCTTGCTTGTTTATGAGAAGTAAAATAACTTGGCCTACATTTTTCATACAAAAGAAAATGGAACCGGAGAAGTTTATTTATTTGAGTTTTTTATTTAATTTTTATATTTTTATAATGTAGAGCATGGTTCAAAGTCTCTCTCTCTCTCTCTCTTTCATTTTCATGGGGCTACACAAACCAGGGGGTTAACCCATCCCTCATCCCCTTAACCCCCTCAAATCTTGGGTGGCAATAAGATTTGGTCCCAAATCTTTGTTCCAATGAGTTAGAGATCCCACCAACAGAGCCATTGTCAATTGGTTCAAAGTATCAATACTCCCAATATGCACTTTTGGAGAGGATGCACTTCTAGAGAGTGCAAATTAGAAAAAAAATGTAAATTTTGCATAAGGTAGGAGTGCAGAACATAATAACAAATTAATGAATGTGAAACCAAATCAGGTGCAAAAATTGTATCAAGTTCAGATTTGCACCACAAACAAATATAGGCAAGAAGGGGAAAATATATGCAATAAAATGGGGCAAAAAAAACGAGTCCACAAAGACCAGAAAATGGGGCCCAGCAACATGAGGCCTAAGAAGACCGGAAAATATGGCCAAAAAAAGATCCATAAARTCTGCAAAATAGGGCCAGAAAAGCATGAGAACCACAAGTTGATCATTCAAAGAGAATCAAGAAGAGGACGTGACATAATCGACCATGAACTTTCGGCCTTTACAAAAGTGATTGAATTGGATCTATTCACCTTGAAATTGTTGGAATGGAAGCTTACGATGAAACCACTAGATTGGAATCTTTATTACTTATAAGGGAATCCTAGTCCTAGAGGATTGGACCCATGTCCAGAACAATATCCCAATCCAACGATAGGGAATCCTATTCCCTATGAAACTGCTCGTACCAAAGGATTCCCAACAGCTCCTTCATTAAAAGTTGGGGCGGCTTTGCTCCTTCTCGACCCGATCGGTCCGGAGAGGCCGGATACCCACCGGGACGGGGAAAATTGCCATCGGGAAGAAAGAATCAGGCGCTTTTTTGAAAAGTTGGAGGTCTAAAATCTATAGGATCCGAATTGTGATTCTGGTTTCTAGGTATCTTCGACGTCATTTCCTGCCTGGTTCCCATAGGTATCTTCGACATCATTTCATGCCAAATCAGAACCGTGCCGTTAACCTGGGATACCATGACATCAGGTATTTAAATCCAACGGCTTGAATTTCACGACAAAATACCATGAATGTTACTCCGCATGTAACATCACTTCCTCCCTCCCTTTTTTCCTTCGCTTTTTATTCGTTGCCTTATTCAAATTTGCCACGTGTCAATCTCTCTCTTCCTTTTTTGTTTTCTCTGGTGTCAAAATTGAAAATTCCTTCCATTATTGTCGGAAAACCAGAATTGAACGTAACCTTCCTCAAACCTACCCCCATTGGTAGGACTATTAGATTACAATCGTTGGATTGGATCCTTTTCTCATGATTTCAAAGAATTAGACTTTGGATCTGGTACTCTGACTTATAGACTACATTCTGGGCGTCAAAAATGGATATCTTATCAGCCCTCCGGATCAAAGATTCCAATCCAACTTGTAATGTGCGGTTTTGCTTTAGTTTTTTACTTCTCTCTTTCTCAACCACCGAAGTCTACCACCTCTCTCTCTCTCTCTCACAGACACACACACACACACACAGTTCGAGACTGAGTGAGTGGAAGGAACAAGAGAAGCAACGAACAAAATCGCGAATGGCGATCGCCGCCACGTTCAATCCGTCGACACTCTATATCGGTTTCTCAAAGCTCAATTACCAGTGTTCATCCTACGCCTCTCCTTTTATTGCCCGTCCCATCGCCACCACCGCATCCGTCTCCAGCTTCCCGCTGACATGGAAGGCGAAGCGGAGTCGGAAGCCTATGGTTGTACTCGTCTCGTCCGGTGACGGTACCGGTGGTCGAAATGGCGGGAATTATGGTGGCGGTGGTGGCGGAGGAGGTGGTCATGGCGGAGGAGGAGGAGATGCCGGAGACAAGAACAAAACAGAGGCGCTTCTGGCGCTGGCGGAAATTGGGAGGTCTTTAGATAGTATTCCCTCGGATCTGGCAGCGGCGATTGACGCTGGAAGGATTCCGGGGGAGATTGTATACCGTTTCTTTGAGTTGGAGAAGTCGCCGGTTTTCCGGTGGTTGCTTAAGTTTGGGGGATTTAAGGAACGATTGTTGGCCGATGACCTCTTCCTGGCTAAGGTCTCCATGGAATGTGGCGTTGGAATTTTCACTAAGGTCTTCCTCTTCTTCTTTGTTCTTTTCTCTCATGTTTTTTTTTCCTAACTGTTTGATTGACCATAAATGTTTCTCATCATGGTTCCGTGTAATGATCTTTTGTAACAGTAATGTGTCCGATGCTACCCTGTTTGAAATGATCTATTTTTTCAGGATTGAAGTAGATCTCTGGTTATTTTATCTTTTCGGCTTTTGAATTTCTCGTTATTTTCTGAAAATACCAGCTTGGGCTTCTAAGTGCGTCATTCTCATCGAGAATATCTTTGATTGGTTTAGTGTATGCTTGATTTGATAGAAGTCTTTCAGTTGAACTGTAAAAAGGGGAATAAGAAGATTTATCTAGCCAGGGAACTTGAGGTTGCTTAGTGAATCTGCTAGTAATTGACAGTTTAAAATATTGCATTGATACTGGAATAGGTGTTGTATTTAATCTTTCATTTTTCTCATAATCAGGGCCACCTCTTAACTATCATGAATCTAAACCAATAAATGTGGTTTGGCAAATTATTCAACATAGTTTTTGCATAAAGTGGAAAGCTTGACTGGTTTTTTAACAATAATAAAGCAGTTGAGATTTCTAGAATAGTAGGATAATTTTATTTTCAGTATCAAAGTGAGGATGTTTTAAGTGGATTGCCATGTGATTCATATCAGAAGATAAAACTACCAAGTATAAAATATGAAAAATTATATCATCGGGTAAATTTACAAGGTTACAGACCTTTGTTAATTGATGGTGCACATTTTGTTATCATGATTAGACAGATTAAGCAATTGTTTTTGGTGGAATCTCAATGGACTACAATGACATTTATTTAACAAATGTTACATCCTCTTCCTGGTTGCATCTTGGTATCTTGGTCAATGATGCAAATAGAAAACGACACTTGCAGCAATTGCTAATATGGATGAAATTTATTTTACTTGGTCCTTGTTGGTTCATTAAACATGATAGCTTTGTTTTTGCCTCGGTAGTATCTAACTATTGCATCAGAAGGACTTACATTGCAGTCTTGATGTTTTCTTATTATAGATAAAGGGGAATGGATCCTCTAATTGGATCTTTAGAAGGCTTATCAGGCATCAACAAAGGAATCTTCCATGTTGAAAATTGGCCCAAAATGGCCCCAGATATTCATCCTTTTACCTTGTATTAACTTAAATTTGAGTCCCAAAATCTCTACAACATGATCAGAACAAGTTCCACTTTTTGAACAAGTTTACTGCCTAAAAAAACAATTCAACAGCCAATGGTTTGTGTAAGAAACACTAACGAAAAATGGGATACAGGTAACAGGGCTGATGTTAACTAGAAGTTTGAACTAGGTGGGCAATCCTGAAGGTCCCCTACTTGTTGACATTACACCTTCCACACGGCAGAATTATGACAGGTTGTGTAGGGAGCCATATTTGACCCAATTAGGAAGCCTTGTGTATATATGTATGTGCAGGTCAGAAGTGTCATGAGTATGCTTATGTTTATTATGATTCAACTTAGTCAACATGCTTACTAAAATGGTCAACTTTCTAGGAAGATTTCAGCCAAGTGTCACGAGCATGCTTATGCTTCCTTAACTTTTGGCCGATCTTCAGTTATCTGTGACTGAGCTCATATCACAAGTTTGTGAGTATCCTAAGCAGTGTTAAGTCACTTATTTTTTTCATTACTTAGGTTCAGATCCTTTTTAGGTTCAAAAGCTTTACTGGTTGTCATGTTTCAATGGTACTAAATTTTGTTTCCAAGACACCTAATGCTTTCTCCTTTTAATTTAGACTTAGCCTATTTGTTTTCAACTGTGAACGTTTTTACTGACTGTGCTCCAATCTGCTAAAGGGCTTGCACAAAGATTACTAGGTCTAGATTGTCTTGGTTATTTTCCTGGTATATTACTTTTCAGTTCTGTACATTTTTAATGTAGCATAAAGCATACTTCATAATATCATTTTTAGTTAGAATCTCCGTGTGTTCTTTGTCTGAGTTTTCTTTCCTTTTATGGTTTTTTATTCTTTAAGTTTCTGTAATTATTTTATAGTGGCAGTAAATCTTCTAGTACTTCTAGATGTAAAATATTAATCTGTTTGTGTTATGCTTTTCAGACTGCTGCAGAGTATGAACGACGTAGGGAGAAATTTGTCAAGGAGCTGGATTTTGTTTTTGCTGACGTGGTATGCCCTTTGACAGGAAAATGCATTATTGATTTAATTCTTATCTGGTTATGTGTTGCTGTGGACACACTGCAAAATAGTAGAGGAACATATCCTTGTATAGTAGAGAACCATAATACTACTATATACAATTATAATATTAAGCTAGGGGACTGCTTCCTAGATTAGTTGGATGTCTATCATGAGCCTGGTGAAAAGGTTAGAAAGTATTTTTGGGTTGAAAATCTAGAGTTTGCTTTGATTGGTAGAACAGACGGTTGATGATTGAACCTTTGATTTAGATGCTTGTGTTTTCAAATTTTCTATCTATACATTTGGTTTATGGTTAGTTTGGTCATTTGCTTTGGAGGTGTCAAATATGGTTTCCTTTTATTATATAAATATTGAGAATCACTTATTCATTGTGTAATATGGGAGTTCAGGAATAAGAAGAAAGATTTTTGGGCATGCACTTCAGATATTGGGATTTTTAGGAAGCACTGATTTGGTTTGAAGAATTAAAATTTGATGACTGAGATCCTAACTGAAGGTGACTGAACCACATGCTGCCATCCCCTCAAAACATCATTGACGTTTGACAGAGATATTTTGGTGGCTGTTGGTGGCATATCTAAGAATTTCTATATGCCATGAGGACTCTGCAAGAACTCAATTACCAGATGTTCTGCGTGAGTTAAGATTGGCCAAACTCTTAATTACATTGATGTAATGGTTGAACAGGACTTAATGTTGGTTCCTGGCTGGTTCAAAAATTGTAATCCTGGGTCCTGGATATATAGACACAAGATGAGAGAAATAACACAGTTAGGGATTTGAGGATAACATTTATATAAACCCAGGAAATGTCCAATAGCCTAAACAATGGCTAGGCAAGGGATGAGAAGTAGCATGTGTTAGGGGGTCATCTCCCAGAGGGGAGAAATGAAATAAACTAAAAATGATTGAAACAAGGGGTTAGGTAGCTGCAGGGCTGGCCTAATGCTTAATTTGCTTGGCACTTATTAGTTATTAGTGGTTGATATTGGATAGTTGGTTGTGGACTGGGCAATAGCACATTCAGAAGATTGGGTGGCATTAGATTTGAATCAGCATAACAAATCGTCAATCAAATGATTTGGAGGGGGCTTTTGTTGTTCGTTTTCGTCTTCAGAGTTGCAAGCCCTAGATGTTCTTAATTATGGTTCAGTCTATTAATGGGTTTTGCATGTTGGTGGGTTGGAGTCTATGGAGTTCCTCTCCATGTGTGGTTTAGACCCATCTTTATTGAGAACTTGAGATAGGTAGTAATTCTTTGAGGCTTTGAGCAGATTTTCGGAGGTGGATGAGAATAACTTGAGATAGGTAGTAATCATTGACAGAGATAGGTAGTAATTCTTTAATCTCATACTTAAAATTCATGGATCTGGAAATCTTTGGGGAGATTCATATGTTTTGCATCTTTGTTGAAGGAGGGTTTGGGGTCATGTTAACTTTGCTAGATCTCTAGCTTGTTGACGAGCAGAGAAGCATGGGTGGCAACATCTTACTTCAGAACATAGGTAACAAGAGGGAATACCCTTTACCCTAGAAAAATGGTGAGATTTCAGAGATTTTGACAAATCTTGCCAACATTACGAAACCATGCTCTCTAATTCCAAGGAGATACAGGAAAAAGTCCTAATTAAAGTATGACTTTTCATCATCATCATGATCTAAGCTTTGTCTCAACTATATTTGGTCGGCTATATGAACCCTTTTACATCATTGGTTTGAAGGCTCAAATTCCAACCGATACTTGCTATCAAAGGCAAAGGTTAGCATTGGATTCAAAAGACCTTAGTCACAATGGGTCACTTAAAAGTTAAAATTTTCAACTGACACRCTATACCAAACCAATGGATTAGTTTTGGCACCCAAAGGGATCAAGCCACAAGAAAGTTACAGACCTACAATCTTTTCCAAAAAGAAAAAAAAAATATATATATAGTTTATTCAGTAAGACTCTTACCAATTTGTGATTCATCAAACTAATTAAAACCCATTTATTTCAACAACCATAAGCTACAAACAATAAAAAGAAACCAACCGAAATTAGAAAATCTAAAATTYATGAATCTATCACTGAGATTGTGAAATTTTGAGAAACATGTCTCTCCTGTAGTTATTTCCTGTGTTTGCATCATCTGAGGATATAGAGTACAGGTACAATAAACTTATTAACATGGGTGTATAAATACAAAATTTGTTAAACGAAGAGGAATTATTTACAAATTATCCAAAACATTGGGGTATAATTGCAACACAAAAGCCCTAAATAATTTTCTGGTTTTACTGACAAGTTCAAACCACGTTAATCAAACTGGATTATTTGTTTATCTCACTTCTTATTTTTTTATGTTATTGATCCGAAAAAAAAACTGAATTGTTTATCTTGCTAATGCATTTTATTTCTTAGGTAATGGCCATAATTGCAGATTTTATGCTTGTTTGGCTTCCTGCTCCTACAGTTTCTCTTCGGCCACCTCTTGCAGTCAGTGCTGGATCTATTGCAAAGTTCTTCCACAATTGTCCTGATAATGCCTTTCAGGTTACTGTTAACTTGTTAAATAATTGAATTAGTAAATTTTGTTTTTTTTGTTTTTTTGTTTTAAGAAAAGGAAGTATAAGATTTGTGTTAATCAAATCTGCTGAACTATATCATGCTTTAATTATAGAAAAGAAAATCAGAATAAAAAAAGAACTGTATAATCTTCCCTTGAACAATTCATGCCTAGCCGTCCAAGACAAAAGCGTCCCTAAAACTTTCTTAACAATGTACCCTCTAGGAATTTGTTTTCAAAGAGATGAGCATTTCTTTCGCCCCAAATGGTCCACACCACTGCATCTGGAACCATATTCCACGGCATCTTCTGCTCTAGAAATTGAATTAGTAGTTTTTTTTCTCTATAATACAGTTACTTATTTAGCCTTGTAATCCTGTCTGCAGGTAGCATTGGCTGGAACATCCTACTCATTTTTACAGAGAATAGGAGCCATAGTGGTAATGTTGACAGATCATTTTATTTTATTTTTTTCCCTTCTGCTTTAATGAATAAGATAGCAAATGCATTTGGAAATATAATGTATTTTCTTATATTGGGTCTTTTATGCAGCGTAATGGAGCCAAGCTTTTTGCAGTTGGAACCAGTGCATCTCTGGTAAGCCAGTCTACTATTTTCTGTCTGGATCTAGAAGTAAAAGAAACCAGGAAAGTAAAAAAATGAAATAATGAAAACAAAGATAAATAAGGCCATTACCCAATTTTGGTTCTGGCTATCCAGGGTTTTGGGAGGGTTGGACCGGATATGGAGCTAACCTTTGGCATTTGAAAAATGGAAGATTGGGAGAAAAAWTGGCAAATAACAAGCCTGTGAAAGTAAACTTTGTTTTTTGATTTTGCCATTCTTTCGAATGATTATCCTAGGGTTCATCATATTTCTGCACTATATTTGTCATGTACTCGCATATATGTTGCTAGAATGTTCATTTGTTCATTTTGGAGTTACTACCTAGAAGGCTAAAATGCACCCTTCAACCACTCGCTGATAGGGCAAGCATTATCAAATTAAGACCTGATATTTATGCCTCTGTTGCATATTCTCTAGAGAGATTTCATCCAAGTGAAACATTAGCTAATCAGGTAAGTCGCTGTGCGCAGCCAAGATTTTTTGTTCAATGGGAAAGGATATCTCTCGTCTAAGTAAACGATAAAAAAATCTTGTCTATTGCAAAGGCTCCAAGTTTTAGAAAGACTTGGGAGTTCCTATTTTTGAAATACTTGCAGAATTATTTTAAAGATCCTTTTTTGTCATATTGATAAAAAATATTCTTTTTCATAAGTAATAAAAAAATTATTTAATTATAAATTAATTATGGGATGTATACCACCCTATATGCCCAAAACAGTCTGCCAATTGCGAATGGTCGTCACCTTTTCATATTCAATTTTATATGTGCGGTTACAAAAATTAGCTCTCACTTTTATCTATTCATATTTTATATGTTGAAACGTCAAAATGTATTCTTTGTGCAAATGGGGAATGGGATATATGACGGAAAGTTGGAAACCATTTTTTTTTCAGGTTGGAACAGGTATAACAAATGCCTTGATAAATGCAAGAAAGGCAATTGACAAGTCTTTTGCTGGCGAAGCTGAGGATGTCCCTATATTATCAACTAGTGTTGCCTATGGTGTCTATATGGCTGTTTCTAGCAACCTTAGGTATGTTTCACGCCAATTTGTTGGCTTTATTTTGGCAACAATACTATGCAACCCTTGCTCTGTTTTTCTTTAGCTTCTATCGCTATACCTTTTACTTCGTGTTTATTATGCATTTTTTGAATGATTACTTGGCGTTTATCACCAAATGTCATTTCTTGAAACCTTAGGCATGTTTCACACCAATTTGTTGGCTTTATTTGAGCTACATCACCATGCAATCCTTGCTCTCTGTTTTTCTTTAGCTTCTGTAATTATACCTTTTACGTGGTGTTTATTGTGCATATTTTGATTGGTTACTTGGTGTTTATCACTAAATGTCTTTTCTACCTTCTAATTTGGCATCATCCTCTAAACCTTTCTGCCTTGTAGCATCAAATCATGGATATCAATGTGATGCTACTTGATAAAAACCCCTTGATTTTTCAATATACTTTTAGAATGGTTGTTACTTTGCAAGAGGATTTGTTTTGTGTGCAGTTATTGATAGAAAAAGAGAAAGAAAAAAGGAAAGAGGATTTATGTCGTGCCAATGAAGAGTATCCATGTACATCTGGATAAGCCTGGGTTAGTAAATAATGTAGCTCTTCACCCGGACTGCCTGGCACAAACATGTAGATAAAATGACATACCACCTGGATGTGGATAAGCATCAGTTACAGATAGGGTATTGTTGGATGTTATTCCAAGTCTTATGGTCCATAGATATGGTTATGATCATGGTTTTTAAAGCCGGACCGGATCGGATGGTCAGATCAGAAAAACTGGGAACCGGTTAGGCGATCAGTTTTGTTTTATCCTAGAACTGTTATTTTGTCAAAAACCGTTTAATGGTTTGGCCATTTTTATTTTTTTATTTTTTGTTAGAATAGGCTGTCTGTTCAGTTCAAATGATTGGACTGTTCGACCCGGGAACTGGACCCTGACCAGTTCGTTGTCTGATTTGGTTTTAAAAACCTTGGTTATGAAGGACTTGTAAATTATAATCTTATGGTTGATTTTCCTATAGTTAAAAAATTCTCTTTCTACAATAGGTTGTTTAGTTTAGTCTAACATGGAACGTCAATATTAGTTATAAATTCTGATATGTGAGACCAGTTTACTTCCGCAGTTCCGCTACAGATAGCCTCTAATGTAATTTGGACATAAATGTATTGAGATTTTCTGGATCTGTAGTCTCCAGTATTTAACAATATGTCCAACTTTCACTTTTAGGTTATTTAGCCTAACCTAGGACTTAATATCCAGAAGTTTATACGAAGTACAAAACTATATTGTTTCATAGCCATTTACTTCATTAGCTTCTGTAAGTTCAATATGGAGCACAAATTCATAGAATTTTCATAGCTGAATCTGGGAGGGTTTGAATCCCTGCCAGGATCATGCACCAGATACGGTGCATGTTGACCATGGGAAATTGGAACGGTGGGGATTCCATATCCTCTTGGACAAAAAAATTGCCAATTATAATTTATAATGGACTGATGGTTGAATACACTTGCAGTTCATTGCGTTAATGATAATTTATTTAATGTTCAACAGGTACCAAGTACTGGCTGGTGTTATTGAACAACGAATTTTGGAACCCTTTTTACACCATCAAAAGCTTATATTGAGTGCAATCTGCTTTGCTGTCCGGACAGGCAACACATTCTTGGGGTCATTGCTGTAAGAGTTTTTAGCTAATTTTGGGAATTTCATCATGGCAAATCTATAGTTTTCCTTTCTGCAGCTCTCATAACAGAATGTTTCGTTTGGACAGGTGGGTGGATTATGCTCGTTGGGTGGGAATTCAAAAAATGCGAGAGTAAATGAAGCAAAACATAAAGCATAGATCTCATTGCTTTGTGTCATTATTTAAGCTTGCAATTTTCGTTTCTTTTATTTTTTCTTTTTCTCCATTGGATGTTGGCTATTGCTGAAATTTAATAAGAGGTAAAGGGAAAAATATCTTCCATGCATCTGAATTTCATAAAGAAAATGATACACTATGCTTCTAGCTTTGAGCATTTAATTGTTGCATAAATTAGGTTAAAGGAATAAATCTTTGGGTCATGGATATTGGAAGAATTTCCATCTTTAAAAATACTTGAAATCTGCATTGAGAAGAGGGAAAAAATCATTTGAATCAAGAGTAAGAGGAAGAATGCTTTTTTTTTTTTTTTCATTTAGCTCTTCAATAGTAGAACTTAGTGTTTAAAATGCAATGATATATTGATTTGTTATGGGATTTGTGGTGTTTTTGCTTGCATTGGCAGATTCAGAAATCGTTTAAAAAAAGAACTATTTTAAATGGTTTTGAGTAAGAAAGTCCTATAAGATGGATCTATATTTATTAAACCATTGATTCACCAATGACTTGTCTAGAGCTGTCAATGGATTGGATCAGATTCGGGACAAGGTGTACCAGTCCCAAACTGATTACAAATTGCTCCATATGATTAGAGGTGTAAATCGGGCCATGTCGCCCGTGGCCTGACATGGCCTGRCCCGACTTTGGACCTTCTTAGGACGATGGCACGTGGGCTGTGCCAGGCCCGGCACGATGGTTCGTGCCGTGCTGGACCTAAGGTTTTAGGTTCGTGGGCCGGGCTGTGCTGCCCGCGGCCCGCGTGCTAGCATGACCCAGCCTGTAGCTCAGCCCAGCACGGCCCATATATACTATTTATATATAATATATAATATATTATATAAATTATAATTATATAATAATATATAGTATATAATAAATTAATAAAATAAACAATTCTTTTCAATTTTATTATACTAATTTATTTAATTGTTATATATATAACCAATTGTATACATCAAAATTCATATAAAATTAAAATTTTAAGTCTTTTTTCAAATTTTTAAATAAATAGTCAAAAATAACTTTGGCCCGGTACATAACCTAGCTTGGGCCAAGGCTTGGCCCATGGGCCAGCCCAGTCCACGGAATGGCATGAGTCCGCACGGGTTGGCCCCCAAACTATTCACTGGGGAGGGCGGCATGGCCCACACTTTGCGCAAGCCGTGCCGTGTTGGCCCGACACGACCCACTTTACACCTCTACATATGATAGACTTGGAATTGATCCAATTATTAATCAGGACAATTGGGTTTGAATTGGTTTGGAATATAGCAAGAACTGATACAAACCCAATTAGTTGATAATTTAGTTTACAATGAAACAAATAAAATAAATCATTTAAAACATTGCCTTGGTAAATTTAAATTTAATTTTTTTGGTACTTTAAAAATTAAACAAACAAAATATAGAAAAATTTATTAAGTAATACTCCGACCCACTTGATTGCCTCCAAGGCAAAAACTTTAGCCCATGATAGGTTTTATTGGGATAATTAGATATTTTGCGGTCATGGTTTTAAAAACGACCCATAAATGAAACCGTTCTGGCCACCGGTTTTTGGGTTGATGGTTCGACTATCTAGTTTGAACGAATGACCCATTTTGACAACAAAAATTAAAAAAAAAATAATTAAAAATAAAAAACGGCCAAAACCATTGAAGGCGTTGACGAGTTGATGGTTCGACCGCCTGGGTCAACGGGTTGTTGGCTAATTCAACGGTTTTTGGCGAAGGACCAGGTTTTGGGTAAAACTGAATCGGTTGCCTAGACGGTTCCTAGGTCGAACGGTCTGACCGTTCGGGTCAACAATGGTTCAAAAACCACGAATATAGTTACTTTATCTAGTAAAAAAATTAAAATATAAGAGTTGTTTTTTATTCGAGTCTTGGACCCTTAGATTTATGGATCTTGCACATTTTCGTGGATTTAATATATCTTAGGATTAATTATAGAAACATTGGATGGTATATCGTTAACAAAGTTATTGTATAATATATATATGTCCATGACTCCGGTATTGTAGATTATAATGTACTTTTTCGTATAAATTATCAAAATATGCATTTTTAATGTGTTTATACCTTATTCATGGCTATTTGATATTTTAAACATGGATTTAGTTTTAATAAATGTATTTGTGAGATTTAATCTAATATATCCAAGTGTTTGTAGTGTCTTTTTATCATATTTTTGTGGTACCATCCATTTTCAAGCTTATTGATGGATGTGCTCCCAACAGTTAAACACTTCACCTTCTACATCCTTCTCACACATGGACTACTTTCATGATCTTGTGTTTATGCGCTACTCTCCCAGACCATGAATGGCTCAGGGCTCAAGCAAGGCACTATCTACCCAATCCCCAACCACCATTTGATTAGATTAACTATACTATGATCATCTTAGCCCTTTGGAAAAGAAGAATGAATTGAGGAATAATGGCAAGATTCCACCCTTCAGATTAACTAGACATGATACATACATAAAAATGGTGGTTGGGGATTGGCCAATTGGGGAGATAGTGCCCGAAGGCCAAGTCACACAAACTCTAACCAGTAGTTGAAGGCTAGCATACCTAAGTCTAGGGCCTCGGTTACCCGAAAGCCAAAGTTGTATCCAAGTCTTGCACAAACTCTAACCGGTAGTTGAAGAGTAGCACGCCTAAGTCGAAGGCCCCGGTTACTCAAGGGGCGAAGTCATATCTAGCCTCATACGAACTCTCACTGGTGGCCTCGATCACCCAAAGACTGAAGCCAAACCATGAAAGTAGTTAAGCCCGTACTAACATAGTAAAGACCTCGACTAACCAAAGGCCAAGGCCACGTTTCGAACACAGCTTGGCACAAGTTAATGAGGTCGAAGAATTGAGACAAAATAACTTTCATTTATTAGAAGAAAATTTTTATTAAGTGTTCAAGCTCGACATACTGAGCTATACAAAAAGGGAGGAAAAGAAAAAGAAGCCAACCAAAAGTAAAGTAGGCACTAGGGATTTTGGCGGACTTTGAAGACGTTTCTCTTGTAGCACATGAAGCCGGTTTGTGAAGAGTTAGTGTGAGAATCGTTCAGCTTGACCTGGAATTCCTTAGAGGCCTTGTACTCAGCTACTGCCCCCTGCCTCACTTGAGCATGGCCTTCTTCACCTTATGAAAGCGGCTCTTTAGCTTCTTTAGGCCGTCATACTTCACCTCCATGGCCTTCTTCACCTTATCAAGCTTGGCCTTTAGAACGACATCCTCTATCTCCCTTTACTCGTCGAGCTTCCAGAGGCTACATATATAGTTGACCAAACTTGTCACTACACTGACAACCTGAAAACCACGAAAAAGAGTTAGTTTGATGCAAGCGAAAGCATCRTGCTTATTGCCATGGTCTCTTGAATGGTTGAGCTCTCCAACACATCGCTTGTATGACCTACGGCATCCATTCCGATCTCGGGTAGTAGAATGCCTTGGGTGAGCTGCTCGACCATGCCATTAGTCTCTAACGTGTCAAAGGGATAGATGCTCCAATTCGGTCTCTTCCCCTTCAATAGTTGGAGTCTACCCCTCATGACTCCCCTAGGGGTTACTTGTAGATGGTCGCGTGAAAGAAGTGCTTCCTTGGCATCCACCTTGACAACTTCATCTTATAAAGCCCTTGGCCTCTTCACTAGAGTCCATCTTTGCGTCTGCACAACACAAGAAGACAATCAGTACTAAAAAAAAACTAGAATAAGGAAAGAATTGCTATTAATGCCCGTAGAGTAAGGACCGACCAGACAAGGGCTGCATCAACCTAGTTCAGATCAACATGGTAGGCGAGGTGAACTACTTAACACATGCCCTCATAATTCGCCTCAAGACTACCATCTCTTCCTTTGTTAGTTTGGCCTTTGTCAGGGCCTTCACCTTCACTTTTGGAACGACTAACTCAGGGGCAATGGAACACCTTGGTGTTTGACCAAACTGAGAAGTAATAATAGGCCTTTTGGTGCTATCTTCGTAAGAAACCTCAATCTTGTAATCATGCTATCTTCGTAAGTGCATTGCTTGCCAAACCAAGTTGAAGTTGCCCTCTCACCAATTGCAAGACATCTCATCTCAAATTTGAGGGGGAATGTTATATGCCTCCCTGAGCATACAAGGAGTCATTGCACATTGCTCCCCAAACCTCAAGGGAACCTTGGGCTCCTCATTTAAGATCTCTACCTTGGCCCCTCAACCTCCTCTTGGGCCTCGGCCACCTCACCCCCACTACTAGACTCTTCCTCTTTGACCTTGATCATATTGGCTTTGGTCTCAAGAACAACCACTTCGACTTATACTCGCCCCCGAACTAGAACTACTCGAATTAGAAAAAGAAGTAAATGAAGAAGAGGACAAGGACGAGGACGAAGACTACTCGAAAGACCAGTGAAACTCCAGAGGGTGCTATAGCTCAAAATGAAAGTAAATGACTCACCCCTCCTTTTTGTAAAGGCAACCAATAATCAAGATTGAGGCCATCATATGGTCCAAATCCATCCCTGTACTCCGCACACACATAAGCTCGGAAAGATGAAATGACGTAGCCATTGGATTGCATGATCAATGATCAATTTTCAAAATTTCCAAACCAACATCATGTTTCTCTGACCCGATTTCTTTTCAACCGACTCAACAAAAATACTAAGTTCCTTAGCTAAGCACAACAAGAGCTCTTTCGCCTCACCTCGACCGAACACCTCTTTCTTCAACTTCGAAACTGGGGGATTGGTGTTGGGGCCATGCCTTAACCAAGCTGCCACATGGACATTGYTGTGTCCTAAGCTTGACCAATTTCTTTGAACCATGTCAACAGATCAACATGCCACATATCAGGGTCAACGAATGATCTTAGAAATGAGAACCTCGGAAGGAATGTGATGTATCTCCCAAATAAGCACCCCCATCGGGGAAAGTGGAGCCATCCAAAGACCTTGGCAAGTAGACTCCTTCCCTAAGCCCCGGAAGAGACATGTTCGAGCGCACCACAACACTCGACTATTTAAAGGAATATTCCACCAAGGTTCACACTTTCTAAGCTCTCTAATCTCTCTCTTTAGACTTCTTATTCTCCCAATTCTTTTCTACTTCCCCGGCCCAAACCAGGTCGCCCTTAATAGGTTGACCTGACCAATCTCCACTTATATCTTATTGACTTGAGTGTTAGAATGCCTTCCCCAAGGACCTCATCCTTWGGACCTCTGACCACGCTT